GTTGCCATTAGATATTCTATTAGGGAACATGGGCTTATATCAGGACTGTTTTGCCATAGGTTAGAACCAAGCTATACGCAGTCAGACAGTTTAGAATTTGTACAAAAGATTTTTGGGAAAAATATTGAGAAAAAGAAAAGGAAAAGGGGTAGTACAAAGAAAACTCAGTTAACTGTCAAGGATTTAACTGTCTGGATGTAAAAACAACGGTAGCTTCCATAGCTGCTCCTCCACCATAAAATAGTTTGGATAAACTATCAAGTGAAGTATGAGAAGATAGGCGTCCTTCTATTTTTATCAACTATAATAGATGGTACAAGAGCAGTTGATAGAATAAGCCCTCTCACACTTCAGATAGTGAATGGTATGAACTTACGCGTATGTTTTCCGTGGGGGAGATACACCTTTGATGCGTGCACAAGTCAACTTGACAGAATGGTGAATTCTTTCGGCGGTGTGCCGAAGGATTCATATGCTTTCTCTGGTTTCATAATTCCACTGGAAATAAAAAAAATCATACTTTTGTAGCTTAAATTTATATCTTTATGATTTAGTGTTATTGAATATATAGGTTTTGGCGTATGAGGCAATCAAAGTTCTTAAGGACAAATTCCGAGTACATGTCCCCGCAGAAGCAAACTGTCCAAGAATGTGTAGGTACACATTGAAAGAAGCAGAGAAGGGGTACACAGGTTTTGAATTGCAAGCTATAACTAAAGCACTTGGAATCACAAAGGTGAATATCTCTCCATCNTGTTATTGAATATATAGGTTTTGGCGTATGAGGCAATCAAAGTTCTTAAGGACAAATTCCGAGTACATGTCCCCGCAGAAGCAAACTGTCCAAGAATGTGTAGGTACACATTGAAAGAAGCAGAGAAGGGGTACACAGGTTTTGAATTGCAAGCTATAACTAAAGCACTTGGAATCACAAAGGTGAATATCTCTCCATCGTTCTTAGTTTGTTCTTGAGTGTCAGGTTTGAATGAATTTATTTTAAAAACAGGAAATTGCCACCATCATGGAACCTAAACCATCTGAACTTGATCTTATGACTCTCATCATGGTTGAAGATGAAATTAGCGATGAAAAGAGGAATCTACGGTGGGAAGTTTTGTGCCAGTTAGATGTTAAGTCTCGGATGGTGACGTTTCCAGAGAAGAAACAACAAGAGAGAGGACCTGAGCAAGAAGCCAATGCCTCTAAAACGAAGAATGGTCTAGAGGAACAACTAAGCAAGGCCAACGATATAAGATTTGAAAAGTTGACAGAATTAAACAAGGCCAAGGATATAGAAATAGCAGATCTCAAGACAATGGTTGAGTTGATAGAATCAATCAATGGCCAGGAAATAGAAATAGTAGAGCTCAAGACAAAGGTTGCAGCTTGCAGAAACAAGCAGTGAGAATCAGGGCTCTTCTTTTGGTACTGACTGGCCTATGTTTAAAATTGAATTTTATCACTTAGCTGTTTATGTTTTTGAAATGAGGCCACGGTGTGATTTTTGATACAATTTGTTGCTAATTCTTCTCTCGAAACTTAGATTCTAGATAGTCTTAGGTGTGGAAAATGGAAATTGATGAGAATCTGAGAGAGCTTCTTCTTATGTGTTCCTCTGATTATCAATATGTCTATATTTATTAGTTCTGAACAAAAACTTTCAGATTAGAGATTGCAAGTGATCTGGTTAGCTATACATTGCTAGAAACATTTCAATTTATTTCATAGGCATTCGATTTGTTTTCATCCTTAGATTGTGTAATTGTTTAGTTAGAACTTGTGTATGATTATAGTCAATGAGTTTTCAATATTGACAAAGTGCTGAGATTTTAATTTTGAATTGTTAATCGTGCTTTTATCTATATAACTTTGCAAAGATCAATGATGCATATTCAATTCATATGAAAGTAAAACTAGTTGCATCATACATAGTAAACGTGATTCCATCATACATAGTAAACTAGTTGCATCATACATAGTGTGTGATGAAGACCTTAATATATGGAAGATTTAGTTTTCAAATATTTAAAATGTGTGATGAAGACCTTAATTTATGGAAGATTTTAGAAGTTTGTTTTAAAATATTTAAGATTTAGTTTTAAAATCTTTGAAAGTTGGTGCAAGTGTCAAATTACAATACAAAAAAATGTTTTAAAATCTTTGAAAGTTGGTGCAAGTGTCAAATTACAATACAAAAAAATGTCCTATGTGTTTAAAACATAAAGGGTAAAAAGTAAAGATGCTTGGTTTGTTTTCAAACATAGTGAAATTTTAAAATCAGAACTTTTTCAAATGAAAGTATTGTGTGTGATGAAGACCTTAATGCTTGTTTAGTTTTAAAATCTTTGAAAGTTGGTGCAAGTGTCAAATTACAATACAAAAAAATGTCTTAACATATAGTGAGATATGTTCTGAGTTCTTTATTTTTTTAGTCAAAAAAAAGAGAAATGTTCTATGCGTTTAAATCATAAAGGGTAAAAAAAGTTATGTTTGACCAAAAAAAAAGGGTAAAAAGAGTTACTGGATAACATGCCCGGATAAGCAAAGCCATGACTTGCCCATTGCATTATCTTCTTCTTCATCTTTTGTGGCATTAATCCTTCTAACAAAGCTCCTTCTTTTAATCTTCATAACTAAGAGAATGTGTTACGGGATGATTTCTCTCATTGATTGGCTTTGTGATGAAGGTAAAAGAGTTATAGTGAGAAATGTCCTCTGTAACTAGGAAATCTTTATAATAAAAAGGGTAAAGAGTTATGGCACCATTGCATTATCTTCTTTCTCATCTTCTGTGGCAGTAATCCTTCTTTTAAACTTGATAACATCATGTAAATACAGAAAACTAAATAAACACAAAGCTCCTTCTTTTAAACTTCAAAAAGAATGTATTACACAGAAGTTATTACCTTTATGCAGTTTCCCAAGTTAATCACAGAATGCTATCAATAGAGTCATCTACCATGTCCACTCTGTTCCAACATGAAAAAGGCAGAGTGTAAGTTTCATACTCTTCTGGTGAAAGGAAAAGTTTTGAATGTTACCCAGAAGAGCATGAGGCAAGAAAGCAGTGTGTAAAAGGGCCCTGAGAAGAAAGCATCCATCACTCTGTTCTGCAAAAAGAGAGAGAACCTTTATTAATTTTACAATTTCTACATGAACATTCAATGAAGTATAGACTCTGCTCTTTGGATCTGTTAAGTTTTGGATAGAGTAAACACCTGAATTTCGAGAATGAGCAACCCATGGTTGAACAAGAGACCTGAACTTTTGGGTCAGTCTGCTCTTGGCTTAGAGAGTGACTAAGACATTCCACAAAGCTTTGCTCGAGAAGAAACAACAAAGAAATCAGATTTTATTTATTTATTTTGTCTCTGTTTAGAGAAGAAGCAGAAGTATTGATGTTCAAGGGAAAGAAGAGAATTGTATTTATAGAAGAAAAAAAGTTATTTGTGTGGGGCACTTGCCACACCCAACGCCTTCCTGCGTTCGTCCCTAGGAACGATCGTTATCAGAGCACAAAGACTAAATGCACAAAAAGATGCAAAACCCTTCAACCTAGAGGCTTGTGGGGGAAACACAATTAGTTAAACACATTTTAGTAAATTAAACATGATTAAGTGATGTCCACTGATTTGCAGAGTTTGATTCCAATTGAATAATATAAATGGTTTAGTTTTAAATTTTCAGGATTAGGAGTCTAATGAAGAAAAGTCTGGGGGATTGAGTGTAAATTTCAATAGTATAGATTTTTTTTTTTTAATACTGAATAATTATGCTATTAAAAATTATGAGAAATATTACAGACGATTCTACAGCCGACCATTCTTTTACCTGTCTTATGAAAGCCGATTTCGTCTGATGCAGATCTCTTGTAATCATTTTTTCCTTTAGCTCGCATAATTTCACTTTTCTATGACTCAAAACCCAGATCTATTGATATAGAAGCATTAAAGAACCTTTAGTCAAAAGGGGGATTCTACATAGAAATTGTTATTTAACCTATTATTTATTTATATCTACACAAAGGCTGATATAGTTCATGATAAAAATTATGTGGTAAAAATACGAGATAATTGACTGGTATTGATGTATAAGTTACAATATATATTTAAGAAAAAATATTTTTTTTTGACATCAACATAGAAAAGTATTATTGATTTAGATAATAATAAGATTTATAATAAATTTGATAAAATATAGAAGAAAATTTAAATAGTGTTGATTTAGATAATAATAACATTTATAATAAATTTGATAAAATATATAAGAAAAATAAAAATATATTAAATTAAAACTATGAAATATATGTTCAAATATATTTATTATATAATAGGGTGTCTACATATATATATATATATATATAACTTATATAATGACTTTGCACTAAGATATGAAAATATTTTTAAAATAATTGATTAGTATTTTTTTATTGAATAACTTATTCTACAGATTAACTAAATATAATGGTATAATAATAATAATAATAATAATGATAATAATAATAGTATATATATGAAAATTTTAATGAAATGCACCTATATAAATAAATAATTTTATGTTATAACAAAAGTCACCAAAAAGAACTAATAATTAAAATTATTGAAAAGTTGGTTAAATAATTACATAGATAAATGTAGGCAATTATGAAATGAATTTAGAAAAAAATAATTTGTCAAATATAGTAAAAAGTAGGTACGTGGGTTTTTATAGATGAATAAAAAAGAGTCTAAATCAAATCCTAATACATGGCATTTTCTTTGATGTTGGATTACTACTTGATTTATCAATTTTATCAAAGGGATAACTCAAAATTCTAATTCAAAGTATAACACATTCTAATTCAAACAATAACTCAAAATTCTAAAATAAAATCATGATTCATGACATTTTTTAAGTTATCCCTCTAACTCAAACTTAATCACTCAGTCACCAATCAAAGCCTAAAGACATTCCCTAATGGGCTTTTCATTTTCATAAACGAATTGGGCCGACCAAAAAAAAAACAACATAACCCTCGTAGATGCCCTGCCTCTCTTGCATAACTGTCTCTAAAGACATGAGTTCCGTCGGAGTATCTACTGCTCTCTTTTCTCCGGCTAAGTTCCACCGTCGCCGGGAAAAATCACAAACTTTTACTCCGACCCATTTCCCCAATCCAAATGGGTTCCCATCTCAATGGAGAAAGTCTCCACCTTTCCCTCCCAAACTCTCCCAATCCCTCAATTTCACTTCCCACTCTTCACATCTCATACGCTCTTCTCCCAACAGTTTCCTTAAAACTCTAGCAAAAAAAGCTGCGATCTTTCTCGTTGGGTCTTTTGTCTTTATAGGATTCTGCTCTTCGAAGCCTGCTTTGGCAGTACCCACTGTTACCTCTCAATCTGAGTTAGAGGACGAGGCACTGTTCGAGAAGGTTCTGGAGAGTGAGCCGGAGAACATGGAGGCGATGAAGGCTGTTTTGTATAGGAAGATGAGGAGAGGGAAGCCTGAAGAGGCTGTGAAGTATGTTGAGAAGATGATTAAGTTAGAGCCTCGTGAAGTTGAGTGGAAGCTTCTTGAAGCGCTTTGTTATGAGACTATGGGACAGTTTAGTAAAGCTAAGAGATTGTTTAAGGATATTCTTAAAGATAATCCTCTTCTCATCAGAGCTTTGCACGTATGTGTTTTCTCATCTTTTTGATGAATTTTACTAGGATTAGTGGAACTTAGTATTAAGTAATATTAGTTAGTTAAATTAAATTAGTTAGTTAGTTAGTTAAGAAAGTGTTAGGATTAGTGGTTTGTTAAATAATTTGGGTTTGTAGGCACTCCACCACACTCGATCATGTGGTCATCATGAGTCCATTTGAATATTCGGAGAAAATTTCTCATCCCTGAGATGCACCTTCCTTATAAGATTAGTCTGAACCTTTCTATAGGTCTGGATAGGCCAAGTTAATTAAAAAAAAAATAGTTATTTAGGATAAATCTTTTTGTTATTCAGTATTGCTTTGATATCTTTAAAATGTTCAGTTTTGGTATTGTTTTATTATTACTTACAGGGTCTTGCTATGGTAATGCACAAGAGTCATGACTCATCTGTATTTGATATGCTGAATGAAGCTATGGAAGTTGCTCAACAAGGAAACCGAGTGACAGAGGAGAGAAACATACAAGTTTTGATCGGTCAAATGCATATTGTTAAGGTAAAACCGAAATCATTTGCACCTAAATTTCCAATCTTGTGTGTACTTATCTGAGATTGGTTTGAAACCTCAGGGCGAACTTGAAGAAGGTCTAAAGATATTTCAACAGATGGTGAATGATAACCCTCGAGATTTTCGACCTTATCTTTGCCAGGTAATTTTATTTATGAAATGGAATATTAAATTGACTCACACTAGAGTAATCTCTTAGTTACTTTTTGCTATTAATTGGTTTTTCAGGGAATAGTGTATAGCTTAATGGATAAAAAGGAGGAAGCAGATCAACAGTTTGAGATCTATTGGAGTCTTGTACCTGAAGAATTCCCACAAAAGGGGTTTCTTGATGATGTTGCATTGGCTGCTCAAGCCAAATCCAGAGAACGACTCCAAAACACATTCAAATCTAAGTTTACTCATGGAAAATAGATCCTGGTGAGTAAGTTTTATCTTGCTCAATGCTTATAAAGAGAGTATGCAGGTACGGAATGTTATAACGTGTGTCGTTTGAAAAGACAAAACCGCTCACAGAGCAGGCAGAGAGTCCATCGCTGCGTTTGATACCAACTAGAAGTCAGCTTTTGTTTTTGATTGTAACTTTTGGGAGCAAGTTTTGAAACCAACAAAGCTCTGAGCTTAAAATTTGTTGTGGTTCCTTTAAATTTTAATTAGTTAATAAGTATTAATGGGCTTTAATTCCAGTGACCCATTTCCTCTTTTGTTTGCCTAGTGGCTTCTTTAAGGGCCCATTTGGATTCGGGCATATTATCCCTCTTTCTCTCTATTTGAAAAAATATTTTAGGACCCCACAGAAAAAGGTGAATAACTTGTAATGGCAAACAAGAAGTAATAATAGCGAATGACTTTTATGGTAAGATCTATTTTTATATATTCATATAATTTACTCTAAATTCTGTCAAATAGATATGGGACCATGTGCATATCACAAAACAAGATTTTATGCTAAAATGACCTTAGGATCAAGTTTTTGATTGGTGCAGTTAGGCTCAATCATTTGATGGTCCCTCCAATGTTAGGGTTTCGAGTTTAAATTGATTGTGGTTTAATTTAGTGTTCAATTCTTTCTCATGTTGTTGACATTTGTCACTGATGGTTCTCTTTATTTCTTTTAAACCCCAAGTGCATATTTGTTGGTAGCTAATCTTTGATTTTGAATTTCTCAGTAACTCTATTTATTATCCACAGAGACGTTTCCAAAAAAAACAAATACATGTCTAAATATTAATTCTCACGTTAAGGTACTACGTTAGTTTTTTTGGGTATCATATGACAAAAGAAAATGCAAATAAGCAAAGGGAATAAAGAAGGGTCGGCATAAAGTGACAGAGGAAGGACATTACAAGACAGCTTTGGATGGTCGGATCAATATAATGTTTGTCAAATTATCACACTAACAGACGCAGAGACCCCGCATGGTGTCATCATTTCTCTTCTTGCCCCCACTTTTACTATTTCTTTTTTTTTACGAACACTTTTACTATTTCTTTCTGAAAACGAAACAAAAATCTTCTTCGTTTGAAAATTATATTTCCTCGTTTTAGTTGTTTCCCGTGAATTAGATTAATCTTTTCTTTTTAATATTTTTTTTAGATTAATATAATGTCCATCGGTTGTAAGTTGTAGGTTGCCTTTTTGGTGGGGTTTATTAGTTGTGCCCCTAACCCTAAGTCAACTTTACATGTTTCAAAATTTCTCTACAAAATGAGATTAATGTATTTGGGATTCATACATGCGTAGTCCGTAGAACTTACTATTCCAGCCTCACTATGGCTCTTTGGAATGAGCTAAACTGAATTGGGATTCATCAAAATTGCCGTGTTTCTAACATGTTTCTTAGAGTATGTCCATCAGTGAATCGATAGTGTTTCTAACATGTTTCTTAGAGTATGTCTATCAGTGACGATAGGACTCGATTCTCCAAATGACATTTTTTTTTGTTTGACTTAAAATTTTAAAAATATAATAATAAATCAATCAATTATGGGTCGTCATTTGTCGTGTAACCCACAAAACAGTGTTGAACCCATTTTACTGGAGAGCATTCACACAGCCCGGATTCACTTTTCATAAATTATAATAATATTTTTTTTTGGATTTCTGCAAACCCCATCAATAAAATTTTGATGGGGGTGGTCTTAAGTTTTGTTATGTTGTATTATAAATTTATAATCTTTTGCTCAATAGTGAAGAGTATATGACTTGTGTCTGAGATTTCATGTCCGAACTTGATATCTTTTATAATTACTGTTTTTGAGGTTATCGATCTAATATTATTGCTTTTTACTCAAGTCTAGATGATGGGTCTCTAATCGGACTGGACTAGAAGAATCATAGTTAGATATAATGCTTGAAATGAAACTACTAGTTATTCAGAGATCACTGAAAAAAAATAATTATTGAAGGGATAAAGAGAGAGGAAGAAAGCTCATGGATGTCAGATCAAATACCGAAAAAAAAACAAATACAACACACACACACAAAAAAAAAATGAAATGATGAATTTCGCCAACCCGCACTCCAGACTCTTCCCCACTTATGAATGCCCTTAATCAGATTCATATATATTGAATTTTGCCAAACAAAAAGTTTACCCTTTACCTCTTTTTAGCCAGATGTAACTGAATCATAGAATATTATTCCAATATTATACAATACAACCCACACGGAACAAAACGTTCTCATTACGAGCTACGTGTATGTTGTTCGGTTATACTATTATTCCCATGGACCAGCGCGATGTCATAGTGATGTTGTTCTTACGACATCAGGAGGCTAAACTTTAACTACTCAAGAAGAGGTCTAAAAATATAATTCTATATAGTTGACTTATATAGTATAATAAAACACGGAACAGTTTTTTAAAATCCAGTGTATAATATATACATAAATCATCATCAAATAAGATTACTCTCTCTCAAACACGGCGTTTAATTCATAAATGTGCACTACTTTCAACTATAGGATATATGCATTGCAATTTATATATAGAACTATAAACGTGTGGTTAACCTCAGATAAAAGTACTTTGATATGGTATATAAATGCGTTTATGGGTTATCATGCATATACATAGACATGTATGTATACATAAAGAACAAAAAAGTGGGTGGGGTTTCAAAACTTGATGAAACTATTACAAAATGCAATCTTGCAAAAGCTAAAACGAGGAAAAGGTATGAAACTTTTCTCTCTTGGATGATTAATAGTTCTTTATCAATTTATTTACTCTCATAAGGTTTTGAAAGAACGAAAAAACTGTCAAATAGAAGCTTAATAGTAATATTCATAAAATCATAATCATGATATCCTCACACAGCATACAGATGAAAAGATTTCCACCTAAGATTTTTCATCATTACTCACTCCTAATCTATATTCCTTTTTGGATTCCAAAAATAATAGCAATGGTATATAAATTATTCATGTATTACATCATTCCGTAAAAAAATATGAAATAATGAAATCTTAGCTAAACGAGAGTGATAGATGTGTATAGATTCCCATCACATCTCCTGCCATTTTTTTCCATGGAAATGATTTCAGGATTTTAAGTGTATATATTAATTGTTGTAAAGAAAATCCTTTTTTGACTGAACAGAAGAAAATCTTTTTGAAACCGTCAGTTCTAGAGAATTTGGATTTGTTTACCGCACACATGATTACAAAACGGTGCGATTATCTTCTCTAACTCTTGAAATATCTCGAGCATATAGATCTCTTTTTTTTTGTCAAAAGGTTTCAGATTTTTTACAAGTAATCTTCACTTCATATATAGATTTTCAGAATGTGAAGTATTGTTATTGTAGTGCCTTTTATAAGTGAAACTCATAAAACTAGGTAATTTATTATATACATAAGTAAAACAAATATGAGTTGCTCGGGGGATTAATTGTTTGTGATATCTTTTGTTTATTGTAATTTCATTTGCAAGTTCATTTTCAGTGGTGTTTCTTTTCTGAGAGTATAGTCCTGAAAGGTTAAGTGATGTCGATTTTTTTGTGATAAAAAAGAGATTATACCAGTTTTATAAAAAAAGTACATTTGTTCTGTTTGAGTTTAATGATCTTCAGATGTTATGCATTATCGGTATTTTTGTTTGATCTGTATTTTTTGATCCGCATGTTTTTAGTAAATTTTACAATTTGTTTTCACTTTTCAGTTTAGTTTACTATAATTAGACTAAAAATTAAAGAAACGCAACACGAACGCTGTTTCAGATGTAACGTGACGCCGTAACAAAAGCTGACTGCCGTTTAAGCGACACAACGTTAACTCCCACTACCACTCTTCATCATTCTCTCGAGTGCCCTGACGCGTTTTCTCCTTTTCTTCTTTCTTTCTTGAGTTTTCCTTATTTCTTTTTCTTTCTAGACGAAGACAATTAGTTCATAATGATGTATCTGAAAGTTGAGAAAGAAAAACACATTTATCCCATGAAATTCATATATAACAACCCAACCTTCTTAAGTTGACAAAGAAAAAAACTCTTACAAATTAATAATTATCTTATTTTACTTTATCTTGTCAGGCAATACTTAAACTGACTTTTGTGGATTTTTATAAAAGTGTTTTATACAAATGCGTCGATAAATAAGAGCACATGATAATATACTAATCATCAAGTGGACAGCAACTTGTTTTACTTGGGTAGTTTTTTTTTCACGCAGATGAATCACAGTATAAGTAACATTTGCAACATCAACCACCACACGAAAAAAAAGTATATAATTCAATTCAACCACCACACAAAAAAAGTCACTATACAAACTTATGGAGTAATTCTTTTGGTACCTCAACCGTTAATAATTTTCATAAATCAAACATCCCACTTTAAACATCTACCAAAGAGTAACACCAAGATACATACGTTTTTAATATGGATATCCAAACAATGTTTACAGTTCTTATATTTAGTTTCAAAACCATGAATGAAATTAAATAGCATTTAGTCACATGTAAATCTTCCAACAAAGCCATTCCAATTGGACCTACCAGCAACTTTCTTTTTCCCACATTTATATATCTGTCGAAACACTCACATGGATGGATTGGATTGTCTAAACCCAAAATCAAACTAAACCAAAACACTCTCTGTCTCACAGACACACAGTCTCGTCTCCTTCAAGCTTTTGCAAAAGGAAAGAGAGGGATGGATACGATAAACCAAGGAATAAGCTTGTTTGATGAACCACAAAACGTCATAAACCCTAATAATAAAAGCCATCTAGGTTTTTTTTTCACTTTCCCTAATCAAACATTATCTTCGTCTTCATCTTCGATTCTAGGCCACCACTCCTTAAACTCTTTCCTTCACAATAATTCATCTTCATTTGTTACTCATCCTCAAGATCCCATCAATCCCATGGTGAATCTCCCTGAAACCCTAATCTCCACCTCTTCTCTATCCTCATCTAAGCAAAGGGATGATCATGATGGTATTATTAATCTTGATCATCATCGTCTTACCGGTGGTATATCATCTCAAAGAACCTCTTTAAATCCATGGTAAGTTACTTATGCTAAAAGCAATCAGCTAAAGAATATGTTCTATTGTACTCAAACTGCAAAAAAATATAAAAACAAAAAAAAAATTCTAAGGGATATGTAGATTCCCCACAACTTCAACTTTATGTATAAAAATCTTCCTTTTTTTCTTTCCCGAAATAAGAGATCAATTCCCTTTATGATGAATTTATCACACACATCATGCATATACTATAATAGTTGAGGAAAAATATAGTAGTTACCAGTAGCCTAAAAACAATTCAAAAGTATTTTTAATTGCTTTTGCAAAAGATTTAATTCACAACATAGTTTATATATATTGTATTAAATATTCGCCCGCTTACATTCCGTCATTTAAAGTGTAAAACTTTTGCATTCGAATAAATCCCAAATTAACAATAAAGTTTCAAAAAGTTCTTTTAAACATGTTTATAATGGTAAGCTCCTATATTTTAGACAGCTTAATTTAGTATTTTGTACATATTTTTGGTTTAGGGTGCCATGCACACATGACACAGCTACTTATTTTTTTTTACTTTTTTTTGACACAGCTACTTATGTCAAATGTGTTAATGCAAATGTACTTTAGGGCATGGAGTAGTCAAGCAGGATACGGATACAGCAAGAACAACAACCATATAAGCGAGACTGATGTAGATCATACTGATGGTGATGTTGGTGATGGTATTAATGATGAGGATGATCATCAAAATCAATATATTCCTTGTCGTCATAAGCATAATACGACGCCGTTAGGAGTAGTGTCTACCCTCAAGATGAAGAAGCTGAAGACAAGAAGAAAAGTGAGGGAGCCTCGGTTTTGCTTCAAGACACTAAGCGATGTTGATGTCTTAGATGATGGATATAGATGGAGAAAATATGGCCAGAAAGTTGTCAAGAACACTCAACATCCCAGGTACATTTTTTTTCTTAGATTAATTTATAAGTAGACAGCTAGCTTTCTTATACTGATTCGAAATTGGTTTTTAACTCTATATTCAGTATTTGTTTTGTTTATATTAATTATATAGTTATCATTTATCTCTTTACCTTTCATTATTACTAGGAGGATAATGATAACTTAATCTTTAGAGATTTTTAATCGGGTAAAGAATCTGTTTTCTTTTAAAAGATTTTAAGGTTGAGTGGTTAACTAATGTGATGAGAATATGTATTCTTGAGAGTTTAGTTATGATCCATGTAAAGATTGGAATTGCTTTAGGATTTGGCTAATGAATTGATAATTATTAATAGTATCCAGCTGGTGTTTCTGTGAACAAATTCAGTTATAACATAGACTCTTGCCCAGTGGGTTACTAATCTCCTATTTATAAAAATAAGATACATTACAACATTTGAATCATAACACTATCATCACAGTAATCATTTCAAAAATTTTAGAAAAATAAGTTGATCTATGTTTTATCTAAACATATAGTATACTTTTCATTAACTTAGTTATATAATTAGTTATTTATATAAAAATAGTATTCATTATTTCTTTAAAAAAAACATACAGAATTACCTAATAATCAAAATATATATAAGAACTAATGATTTTAAATAAAAAAAATTGATAATAATTTATACATCCTCTATCATTTTTGTTTTATATTGTTAAAACAAATTAGACAATTAAATTAACCAACTAATCAAAAATTCCAGTTTTTCTTTATGTTATATTTTAAATTTTTAAAAATCTGATTTTGAAAATTCATGATCAATGGTTTAATTTAGTTTATAACAAAATTCAAATGTTCATAAATTTATATAAGTAAAATGTCTTTTTAATAAATATTAGATTATATATATATATATATATCATTTAAATTATATTATATATTATATAAAATGCATAAATATTTTAATTTCAAAATTTTCATTTAATTTGTCAAATGATTATAAATTATTACAAAATATTAAAAGTTCCATATTAATAATTTTGTTTTCAGTGTTTCAATATGCGGATCTTAATCTACTTATACAATAAAGTAAGAAAATAATATAACCATTGACAAAAAAAAAAAGTGTGAATGATTTCATTTGGACGCATTTGAGTATTATGTGATACATATGGATTTCCTTAAGATTCTCTCTCTCTCTCAAGTTGACATTTGACATTATCAACTATGATTTGTTTGGGTAATTGGTATAGTCCTTCAAAATTATATTTTATCTCTTTCGTAAAGTTTTTTTTTTTTGGTGTAAATGTTAAAATTTATACCATTTTCTGAGTTTAACATGTTGTTGGAGTACAACTTATTACAAGGAAAGCAAAGGAGTCATTAACTAAAAGGAGATACAAACCAAAAGTAAAGTTCGAGCAAGGAAGGAGAGGATGGAGACACCGAGGGCAGAGACAAGAGCCTATCTTTCATAGCGCGATCAACCACTTTGAAGAAGGCCCCTTGAGTCAGCTGAGCGGAAGTGAAGATGCGGCGATTCCGTTCACGCCAAAGATTGTAAATTATAACCTGGTTGAGGAGCTTCAGCACGATAATGGCAGGGGCTGCGTGAGGGCCATGAAGCTGCAAACACAAGCTAATAAGAGAGGACAACGAAGGAGGTGGAGAGTCCAAGAACCTGCCACAAAACCGAGACCAAATCCCAGCAGCAAAAGAGCACTCAAAAAACAAATGAGAATGGGATTCATTTGCATTTGAGCATAGCACACAATCTGGTTGAACCGAAATGCCCCAAGAAAGGAGCCGATCTCTCGTGGGCAGCCTTCCAAGATACGAAGTCCAAGTAATGAAAGTACAGCGAGGTATATCACCCTGGAACCAAACGACAGAGTGCCACGGAACAATGGGAGATGGTGTCCGATTGAGCTCCCATGTTACACTTGAGAGAAAAAGACGACCAAATCCACCAGAGCGATTTCTCCATAAATAAATGTCATGTCCATTACCATCGCAAGGAATAGGAGTGGAGGACAATACAATTTGCAGCGTTTCAGCATAATCCGATCTCGCAGGAGGGAGGTGCCAATTCCCATTGCGCACAGCTTGTGAGACTGTGGCGGTGAGAGGTAACCGAAGATCCCTAGGACCAGAATGGCCAAAGAGAAGATAAAGAGGACCTAACTCAGTCCAAAAATCATACCAAAACAACGCTGTTTTGCCATCACCAATGCTGCACCTAAGATAGAGTTGAAGAACAGGCAGCAATTGGAGCATACTCCTAACAGTCGCTGAAAACCTTGGCGAATCATTCACCAACCAAATACTTCGACCATTGAATCTGTTATTTATCAGCCACGGTACCCATAACGAGCCTGAAGCAGAGAAAAACAGCCAAATCCTTTTTAATCTGAAAACCATCTCAAAATCCTCTAGCTTTCTAATACCAAGACCTCCCTCCTTCTTTGGCTTACAAATGTTTTCCCATGAGACACGGGCTCCTGCCGCTGATGTGGTGCTGTTTTTCCATAGAAAAGCAGAGCAGAGAGAGTCTACTTTCTCATAGAAACGCTTAGGCAAAACAAAAACCGAACTCCAGAAATTGACCATACCATAGATAACAGAGTAAACCATCTTGACCTTGCCAGCAAACGAGAGATATTTAACAGTCCATGAGTGCAATTTTGCTGTTATACGGTCTAGAAACGGCTGAAGGGTGGCTGAGGAGATCTTCTTAGGACTGAGAGGTAAACCCAAATATCTGGTTGGAAATGATCCACGCTTAAAGCCAGAAAGATCACTTAGCACCGAGACTTGAATATCAGAGTAGCCTCCATAAAAAATCTCAGATTTTGAATGGTTAGTGTCTAACCCAGACCAACTCATGAAACGGCTCATTACATCTTTAATCCCCTCCGTGGAAGTACGGGAGCCATCAGAGAATACTAATAAATCATCCGCAAACAATAAATGAGTAATCTTTGGAGAAACACAAAGCGGATGAAGTCGAAATGTCCCTGCCAACGCTGCTCTGTCTAACAGTCGAGAGAGAACCTCCATGAGCATAATAAATAGATAAGGTGATATTGAATCACCTTGGCGCAGCCCCTTTTTCCCTTGAAAAAAACCTGCTAGTTCCCCATTAATAACCACTGAGAACCTTGCCGAGGAGATACACTCTGATACCCAGGTAATAAACATTGGAGGAAATTGTTGAGCCTGTAAAATTTTTATCACAAAATCCCAGCATACAGTATCGAAGGCTTTCCGAATGTCAAGCTTAAGCATAGCACTTCTCAAACATGTAGAGTTGTTGTAGTCTTTTATGAGTTCTGTCGCTAGCAGCACATTTTCTCCAAGACTCCGGCCTTTCAAGAAGGCTGCTTGATTAGGACTAACACACTTCGTCAATATAGGCTTAAGTCTGTTTGCAATAATCTTCGAAATAATCTTATAGACGACGTTACAGCAACTAATCGGTCTATAGTCGCCTAATGAACAAGCCTCTGGCTTTTTAGGAATCAAAGCAATGGCTGTTGTGTTCATATCCTTCAACAGCTTACCATTACGGAAGAACTCTCGGACTGCCTTGATTATATCTGATCCCACGGTATCCCAAGAAACCCTTATGAACTCCACTGAATAACCGTCTGGACCCGGACTCTTATCAAGCGGCATAGCAAAGATAGTCGTCTTTATTTCTGCTTCTGTTACCTCACGTTTCAGATAGTTTTGTTGAAGCTCAGTACATCGGAAGGATAATAGATTCTGCAAATCCTCCACCGAGGCTAAAGACTGAGGAAGATCAGTGGAGCCAAGGATACCCTCGAAATAACCTGCGGCATGAGCTTTAATATCATCCATAGCAAAATACATGTTCTCGTCTCCATCTTTAAGAAAATGAATATGATTTGTAATGAGATGCTGAGACACGATCCGATGGAAGAAAGGTGTATTGCGGTCACCAACATCAGCCCATCTTACTCTTGACCTTTGCCTATAGAATTTTTCCTCCGCCCTTAACAACACGTTCAACTTATTTCTCTCTACATGTTCCTCTCTAGCAGTAAGTACATCAGGGGAAGTAAGCAAAGTTCTCTGCAAATTTTCCACTACAAGCTTCTGCTCCTTAACCCGTTGAGATATTCCACTGAAATGGCGTTTATTCAACCTGCGCAAAACCTTTTTCAAAATCTTCAGAGAGCGAACAATCTTAAACTGGTCAGTGCCAGTGATTTGATCACAATTCCAAGCGTCATTCACAGACTCAGCATATTGAGGATGATCAGCAATATGATGGAAAAATTTGAAAGGCTTGATAACCCGTCTCCTAGTAGATGGCATCCGAAACAAACATCCTGCGTGATCAGACTGAGATGGATCCAGAAACTCTGCATATGAATCTGGAAAAGAAGAAGACCAAGCCTGATTGATAAAGGCATGATCGATCTTGGTAGAAATCGGGTTATCATCTTGGCTGTTCCTCCAAGTGTACGGGAGACCCTTAGCCTGAGCTTCAAACAACTGAGCATCCTGCAGTCCTAGATTTGCGTCTTCCATACCAGCTTCATCGACATGAGAAGAAAAGTGGTTTGAGTGGTGCGAGGTCCTCAACATTTGGTTAAAATCGCCAACAACAGCCCAAGAACATGAGGATACTGGAGTTGTCTCATGTAACTGAACTAAACCTTCCCAGAGGCCTCTACGATCTTCCACCAGATTGAATCCATAAACAAAGGTGACAGTGAGGGTAATATTTTCTGAAAGAATTGTTACCCCGCAAGATACTGTCTGAGCTGTCATGTTGTATATAAACATAGAAACCCTTGGGTCCCAAACTACAATGATCCTTCCTCCTTCATGCTCAGAATAATTCCCAAAAAAATTCCAACCCCTTGGAATAGCATCTCTAATCCTCTCCTTGTTATTCTCTAATATATGAGTCTCCAAAAAAGCTCCAAATAAAGGTCTATGGATATTAATTCAATCTTTGGTCATAGTGTGGCGTCTATCACTGTTCAGTCCACGTACATTCCACGCAAAAAACATATTTATAGATTTTAATGGCGTTTTGCAGCCTTGCGGCCACTCCTCCTGTTTTTAACCAGAAGGAAAGGGTTGTCTTGATCTTGCTTTGCAGCTAAATCAACATGGGCGTCCTGAGTACAAGAACCAGCTTGATTAGAAGTCGCATCTATCTCAGAATTCTTGCTCTTGATTGTATCATTCGTCACAGCTCCATTAGCAGTTACCGTAGCTTCATTATTTTTTTTCCTACAGAAGCTCCAGCTTCCATAACTGTGTCAGACTCCACTTCCACCAACATATTTCCCGAAACCTCTGTAAGCACATCAGGATCGTCAGTAGAGACTCCAGCTGAGACAGCAGAGACATCGGAGACAGCTGGAATATCAGTAGGCACATCTAAGACATCAAGAGAGATTTCAGCAGAGACAGCAGGAACATCAGAAACTGTAGATACATCAGTAGGAACAGCAGACACATCAGCGACTGCAGGAATAGGATCAGCTAAGCCATTAGTAGGCAAAGCAGAGCCATCAGAAAGAACCACAGACACGGCAGTAGAAACCAATGATGTCTTCACCTCCAACATAATTTCACCTTCTTCTCTTAAATTCTCATCACAAATAGGTTGCTTCTGAGATTCATCTATCCCACTGCCATTAAGGGAAACCTTATCTGAGATGGTTTCAGTACCTATACCCAATTGCTGAACATTTGCAGCTTCAGTATTGTGCACCACCGGAACGTAACAAGCGACCATTTTCTTATTATATTTTTCCCTGGTACGGCCTGGTCTAGATTTTGACCTTCTCCTGGATGTTTCAGTAGTAGATTTTCTACCAACGGTGTGGTCAATAGCTCTTACAGACAGGCCATCAGGACATTTTTCTGTTTTATGACCAAATTTCTTACAAGTATCACACTTGACTGGAAGCCAAGGGTAAGAGACATCGATCAGTACTTCCCTGCCGTTAGAGAAACCAGAGACTACCTTATTTGGTAGTGGAGCTGTAAGATCCACCCTGACATACATTTTCGCAACTTCAAAATTTTCCTTACGCTCAGTTTCAGGGGCCAAAGATTCCGGTTTGCCTATTGCAGTAGCAATACGGCTCAAGCTTTCACGATTGAACAGCAGATAGGGAACATTCCGTAACTCAACAGGAACAATTGCGCTAGTGAGTGGTGGTTCCTCCGGCGAGAAGTCAGGAGCCCAGGGAGCGACAAACATGGGAAGACCTCCTATATTCCAGCAAGTACGCGATAGTAAAGCCTCACGAGTTCTAGGATTGGTGATTCGAAGGAGGTATATTCCTTGACCAATATTGTGAACATAGATCTTTGGACCTGTCTTAGCCCAAACTGCATTCAGTACTCCAATAATTTTTCCCATAGTTGGGTAATTGCCATGGAAACGGGCGTACAAGAAATCTTTAAATTCCTGTTTTGCAGCCGCAATATTTTCATCTGGAATGAGAACGAAAGGTGCTCCGGAGATGTGTTCTGAGGGAGTACCCAATTCCTGCAGCTGAGCAGAGCTTTTTAGCATTGCAGCGTAATTCTTAACCTGGTTGTCGACAACCCCAGGAGATTCAGAGATGGAGACCGTGGAATCCTTATTACAAGGCCCAGATCCAGAACCATCAGTAAGTTTCAAATCCTTCTTTGAAGGAAGATTAATAGATGGTATCACAGAGGCTGAATTTAGAGCCATTGATGAACCAGTCGCAGGAACCGCAGCTCCAATTACAGCTACGCCGAGATCTGAGAAATCGACGAGAGAGACAGACTTGTTCTTCTTCTTGGCTAGAGCCAGCATTCCGGCAGAACCCATCCAACGATTGATCTTGAAAAATCGAGTAAACAGCGGACGAGGTTTCTTTTTCTTTTTGGCGAACATAGTAACAAGGAGAGAGCACAGAGGAAACAGAAGGAAGGAGACAAAGAATTCTCGGCGGTGAGGCGTGGTGCCCACCGACGGCGGAGCTAGGGTTGAAAAAACCTTATCTCCTTAACGGTCGGCTATCAAGTTCTTACGCCCCCTTTTTGAGTTTGAATAATATACCTTTTTGAGTTTGAATAATATACCTTAACGGTCGGCGGAGCTAGGGTTGAAAAAACCTTAGCTCTTTCGTAAAGTTTTATCATGAGCTCAATAACAAAGTTCAATTTGCCTTACTAATATATGTTTGATATTACCCTAGATATTTCGAGTTGCCGCACACTGTTTTTAATAAGATATGGTCCTTTATACGAGTATATATATGATTTGATACATGAATCTTGACTTCATTGAAAGTTGGGAAATTATTTTCTAGACTATCTTAATATTCAGGCTCTATTTTTCTTTTTGTAACTAAATCTACCGTCTATATTGCTCATTGATAGATAGACAGGTTTTATTTTAAGAAAAAGATACGACCAAAAATTGGATTGATTAATTAACTAACATTTAAAATTTAAAATGGTAGGAGCTATTACAGATGCACACAAGACAAGTGTAGGGTGAAGAAGAGAGTGGAGAGATTAGCAGATGATCCAAGAATGGTAATCACTACTTACGAAGGAAGACATCTTCACGCTCCTTCAAATCAACTCGGCGAAGACTCTCTTTCCTCTCAACACTCTCCTATCTCCAACTTCTTCTGGTGATATTCTGATTTGTTTTTTTTTCTTTTAATAAAAAACGAATCAATCCTACGTCGAACTCATCGACATATTAATCAATACCTTCATAAAAATAATAAAAAGTAATAACTATATGTTCTTGCTGGTAAATAGGTGTATGATGATGTTTGTTTGTGTGGTGGTTAGGTTGGTGTTTTGTAAGATGATTAATATTTACCTTTTCAGTCTAAGGATTATATATGTGACTCCTTTATTTAAAGATGTGATTGACAAAGTTCAAGGCTAATTTGTCTCGTAAAAATATAAATATTAGCGGTGAAGGCAGTATATGATCGCCGCAATAACACATATTAACTCTCAAACCCTATGTCACACCATTGGATTTCAATATCTGGAGTGATTTATTATCTAATTATTTAAAGTTTCGGTCTATGTGTCGAGTTTTTTGAAAATATAGTTGAATTAGTTAATTTGGTTCGAGTATTCTTTTATTTTAAAGTATTGATTTAATTATGCCCTTCTTCAGGTTCTTTAACGTTATATTACTAATCCCTATTATTAACTATAGTAATTAGTATACGTACATCTCTATTATTAAAAGAGAAGTACCCACTAAAAAATACCCCTAAGTTTTCCAACTTATTTACATTCATATGCCACTGAGAATTTAATTAAACTTCCTATTTAAATGCTTGTCTTTTTCAGTTATATTAATTAAACATCCTATTTAAATGCTTGTCTTTTTCAGTTATATTAATGAGTTATTTAATCAACCAAAAAATACCTGCATCACTAACATGTCTTTTTCACGTATATTAATGATAACTCATTTACTGCATCACTAACAT